TTTACATGGAGGGGGATGCGAAATGGGCAAATGGTTGAGGCGAGGTTGGACAGAGCTCCGATGAATGAAAAATGGCAATCTTTGTGGCCTAATACTTCGGCAGTGATAGGCACTTGTGTGGGTTCAGACCATTGTCCAGTTGTGATGAAATGCAAGTTGCATGGGGATGAAAGAAGTAAAAGATTGTTTCGTTTTGAGGCTTTTTGGACAAAAGAAGGGGAATGCAAAGATATTGTGGAGGAGGACTGGGGTAGGCATAAGGATGGGATGCCTATTGAAAGATGGAATTGGAGGATAAATGACTGTCGAAACAAACTCTGGAGGTAGAGCAAGGAAAAATTCAAAAAGCGTGGGAGATAGTTGAAGGAGAAATTAGAGCTTCTTGGCCGGTTGCAACTCAACTGGAGAGAGTATGAAGAAGAAATTAAAGATCTTTCCAAAGAAGTTGGACCATTTGTGGAGACAAGAAGAATGTTTTTTGTTACAACGGTCAAGAGTGCAATGGCTGAAGAAGAGGGGGATGCAAATACTAGATTTTTCCACCAATCGACAATACAAAGAAGAAGAAGAAACAAGGTGATTACTTTGAAGAATGGGAACGGAGAATGGGTGGATGATCCGAGATTGATTAGGAGAGTGGTTGATGAGCATTTTGTGGACCTGTTCACATCAGTGGGACAGCGGGATTGGGGAGATGTTCTCGGCCGCATTTCCCCGAAGGTAACAATGGCGATGAACGAGGTCCTTTCTGGGCCGGTTTCAGTTGATGAGGTTAAGTCTGCTACTTTGGAAATGGGGGGGCTAAGGCTCCAGGACCGGATGGTTTTTCTGGAATTTTCTACCACAAACACTGGGACATCCTAGCTGTGGACGTAAATGAGATGGTTGGGGTTTTGATGAATGGTCAGGAGGATCCAAGAAGATTAAATGCAACTCATTTGGTGTTGATTCCAAAGGTCCAAAATCCGGAATTGGTCTCCCAATTTAGGCCAATTAGCTTGTGCAACTACTCTTACAAAGTTCTGTCGAAGGTTTTGGCAAAAAGGCTCAAAGCTTTTCTTCCGGAATTGATTTCACCAACTCAGAATGCTTTTGTGGCTGGCTGGCAGATTCAAGACAACATTGGAGTTGCTCACAAACTTTTCCATTTCCTAAAAAATAGGAAAGCAAGATGCAATTGGGAGTTAGGGGTTAAGTTGGATATGCATAAGGCCTATGATCGTGTGGAATGAGACTTTCTGATGGCAGTGATGGAGAAGATGGGGTTTGACAGAAAATGGAGGAATATGATTCTCGGGTGTATTTCGTCAGTCAACTTTGCTATTCTCTTGAATAGGCAACCTAGTAAAAAGTTTGCTCCTTCCAGGGGTTTAAGGCAGGGAGATCCACTCTCCCCATACTTGTTCTTGCTGGTTAGTGAAGTCTTCTCCCTTCTTATTCAAAAGTATAGTGATCTTGGTCACCTAAGAGGAATTCAAATGAGTTCTCCTGGCCCTACCATCTCCCATATCTTTTTTGCCGATGATACACTCATTTTTCTGAGGGCGGATGTGGAAAACTGTTAACAGTTATCCAAAGTGATTGATGATTTTTGCTTGGCTTCTGGGCAGAAAGTTAATAAATCCAAGTCAAGTATTTTCTTTGGATGTAATGTTCCGAGGCATCTGTCCACTCAATTGGCGTCTACCCTTGGCATGGAAATAGTGGAGGATCCTGGTTCTTACCTGGGAGTTCCTGCTATCTGGAGCCGCTCTAAGAAAACCGGTCTTGCTTATATCAAGGGGAGATTATTGGAGAAACTGTAAGGATGGAAGAAAGCTTTTCTGTCTCAAGCGAGGAGGGAGGTTCTCATTAAAACTGTGGCTCAAGCTATTCCGGCTTATCCGATGAATCTTTTCAAATTTCCAGCCTCGTTCTACAAGGAGTTAGATGTCGTGATTTTGAACTTTTGGTGGGGACAAAAGGAGGGAGAGCGCCGAATTCATTGGATTGCTAAAGAAAAATTGAGGTGGGCGAAAGAGAAAGGTGGTTTGGGTCTAAGAAGCTTCGAAGTGTATAATGATGCTCTGTTGGCAAAACAATGTTGGAGGTTAGTCGAAGACCCAAACTCGTTATGGGCTTTGGTGTTAAAGGCTAGATACTTCCCTAATTATTCTTTCCTTGAGGCAAAAAAAGGCGGGAGAGCTTCTTGGGCTTGGTCAAGCCTTCTGAAGGGAAGAGATATTTTATTAAATGGAGCTCATTGGCAGATAATGAATGGCAAGGAGATTAAAGTGTGGGGGGATCGTTGGGTTCCAGCTCTCCCATTGGGTAGGCCTACTCATTTGGGGTCGGTCCATGTTTCCCGAAACTTGAGGGTGGAGTCTCTGATTAATCCGGTGACTAGGGTTTGGGATGTTGATTTTTTAAAACCTTTTCTTGAGCAACCCGAGTTAGAGGCCATATTGGACTTGCATATTGGTGATTCCTCGAGAAGTGATCGTTTGATTTGGCCGTTTGAGAAAAAAGGGAAGTTCTCGGTTAAGTCGGGATATCACTGGGCTATTGATAGATACCTCTCCCCTCCCAACTGTTCTTTATCCCTCATCCCTACTTGCTTCTGGAAGTTGGTTTGGAGCTTAAAAACTCCCCCAAAAATAAGAAGCTTTATGTGGAAGACTCTCCATGGGGCACTTGCAACAATGGAAAATCTCGCACAAAGGAGATCGGCCCAGTCCCCACTTTGTCCAATTTGTCAATTACAAGAGGAAACAATCGAACACATCTTTCTGCAGTGTCCCTGGGTAAGTGTTATCTGGCGTGGAGGTTGTTTCAGTTTGAGGGTGGGTATTTCGGCTACAGTGTCGTGGGCTCATTGGCTGCTGCAGGTGTTTACTTCGGTGAAGGGCTTAAAGGATGTGAGTCTAAAGATGTTTTCATATATTGCTTTTACATGCTGGAATATCTGGAAGTCTAGATGTAATTTGCTCTTCAACAACCACCAGATTAATCCAAGGCAGGTGATCTTTGCCTCTTCCCTCTCGGCTTCTTCTTACACTGCTGCTCATCTAGCTCTGTCGCCCGAGCCTAGCACGGGTCAACATGAGTCTAGGGTTGGAATTAGGTGGAGTCCACCGAACATGGGCAGTGTGAAAATAAATGTGGATGCTAGTTAGAATCTCAAGAGCAAGTCGGGCTTCATTGAGGTGGTGGCGCGGTGTGAGGAGGGTCGGTTCCTGGCGGCAGAAAGGTATAGTGGGAAGGCGTCTAGTGCAGATATGATGAAGGCTCTGGCTATTCTGAATTGGTGTAGATTTGGAAAAAGTAGGGGATGGAGCTCCGTTATTATTAAATCTGATTCATTGGAATCAATTTCTTGTCTAAAGGATATGGCAAGGAATGGCAGTTGGGATGCCTTTCCTATCTTGGTGAAATGTTGCAGCTTAGGTAAGGATTTTCCTGACTGCCGCTGGTCTTGGGTTCCAAGATCGGCCAATTCAGCGGCGGACTATTTAGCGTCGAGTAAGTGTAGGGAAGCTTGTGATCAGATTTGGGTCAATAGACCCCCATCTTCCCTTGTTCATGTTCTATGTAATGACGGCCTTCCATGCCCCCCTTAGCTGTCCTTTTGGGTTATGCGATGTGGGACGCTTTAGCATTAGATGCGGCGTAGTGGTATTGTTGTGAACCACTCGTATTACTTTCTTTGCTGTTATTGGTGTCTTGCCTCTAGGTAGGCTTCCTTGTATTTGCTTGCCATCTTTGCCTTTTAATGTTACCAGGTTCCCAAAAAAAAAAAAAATAGATAAATAGGTCCTTGGATTTGTCCAATGTCAATCATTTTGATCATTCCATAAAAAATTTGTCAATATCCTCGTTAAATTGTCACGTGAAAGACCACGTAATCACCTTTCAAGGGTATTTTTGTCAAACCAACTCTTTAGTTAGCAACAATGTTGAGAAAAATTTCACGAAATCACTACTATGAAACTATTTATTAGTGTCGCTATGATAACTTACAAAAAACGTATATTACTGTCAAATATGAAGAAAAATCCGACAAAAAATAAATGCAGTGGCGAATATAATAAGCGACAGAATTGTCAGCGTCAGGAAATGAATTTTCTATCGTTTGTTCGAAAAAAAAAAATTAATTGACAACTAATTGAATCACATTATTATGCACGTGCGAAAAAACTTTTTTATAACCGGTAATACGTGCCTCTTAATATGTTTTGAACGTGTTTAAAAATAGAGAAAATAATATTTAATAAACAATCAGATTATTGCTAGTCTATAATGAGATACTATTTATATAGAGAAAAAAAAAATTCTATAAAAGGAATTAGTTATTAAAAAAAAACACTGTTTATATGACGAAATACCCCTACATTATTTGATGCATTATTTTGGATTGCTTTTGATTTTTTGTTTGGAGGGCATTTCTATCCACCCATCTTAACCAAATTAACACTGCACTGAACTATCATTTTCGGTTGAACAATCTAATATGATATCGACAATTTTTTTTTCAATGTGGAAAATAGGAAAAAGTTATCACACATTGAGTCCCGGTTTGAACTCGTCAATCAAATCCAACAAATAGTGCCCACCCATAATCTAAATCAATCTCAACACGTTTAGTTTGCTCCAAAATCTCATAAACACCACTTGTATTCTCATTTTTGTTTTTTAACGGCAGAAGCAATACCTGCGTGGTTTTTGTACCCAAGAACCAACACAGTGTATGTGATATATGTACTCATGCAAAGCCACCTCAAAATGGACAGGAGGGCTGGGGCAAGAAGGGCGTGAAGGTCTTAGTTCCTTTCCCTATTTTTGTGTATGAACATGATCATCCAACTGCTAAGCCTTGGAGATACTACCCTTGCCGTACCAAAAGATCCAAACCATATGTAAGACTAAAAGTACACAAGTTTTCGATTCAGATAATTTCAATTGACCACCATGAGGAAAATGTCTCTTAATGCCATGGGAAATATATATGTTTCTTAATAACGTTTGATGAAGTCTCTTCAAATATATTGATTTCATTTACGGAATTGATAACAAGAGGAACTCCAAAAAAATTATAATACGAACTTACAGAATTATCATTTGAAGACAAAAATTTGTGAGCGACTCAAACTTGGACTTGCTGGTTACCACCACCAACAACATCATGCCCCCTCCAGTCCACTGTACCAGCTCAATAAAGCACCAAGACATGACATTACCACTTAAACATTTGACATACTGGCAGATGGGAGACGCTATACACTGAAAAAGGAGCATGTATTCTTCTGTAAGTTGGCGCATCCTAACGTAAATTATACATGCTCCAAAATAAACAAAAAACCAGCTTTCTGGATTACATTTAAAATACGATCTCGCAGGTATAGGTTCATAGCTAATATCTTATATCATGCAAAAGTTTCAACAGTACCGTACACTGGATCAGAAAAACTTCTAAGAACAACCAAACCCTGTACTAAAACAAATGGAACCCTGGAGATGCAACTTTGAGACGGTATGCAAATCTCTATAGTCCTCACTTACATGTTCAAGACAGATATGTCCAGGGAGCAAATGGAAGAAAGTTTAACCTATGCTCCCTCCCACCATCCACACTCCCTTAGAACACCATGTTTTGTAACCAATCTAACCAATTATACGATATATATTATCAATTGGACAATTGTAAGCTAAATCCTACAGGCAATAATCATTATAACAGTGTCAATTGATGGTCAAGCAATCTTCTGAGACAGAAATATGAAAAGCCAAACTCCGCCTATAACCTCCTTTACTATCCATGAGAAGCAAGACATTTTGGTGGTAAATCATTTTTCTAACCCGAAACCCTTCCCAAAATGTTGAAATTTCCAGGTTTTCAAGACATGAATAATTGGTCACTTCCTTCACATGAAAAATTGGATCTTGGTTATATAAGGCATAGCTAGCAGCGAAGCAGCAAGTGGTAACCAAAGAATACACACCCAAACCAATAAAGTAATTCCAACCAATGAAAATTAGCCGTATACAAATTCATCAATGAACTCCATGGAAAGAACCAAAACATAGAGTAGCGTAAAGGAGCACTTAAATCCTATGAAACTTTTATCTACTAAGTAAATTTTACCTGAAATCAATGTCACTATTCCTTGTGTGCAAATTGCAACCGGATTTGTCTGCCATCCAGAACCTGAAAAGAACACAAACATGAAACAATAATACCACTTTTCATTTCTAAGAAGGTAGCGGGCTGATTTCAAGCTTTCCACACATGCCAATTACAAAGAAATTAATCATGATAGATGAAACTACCTGACCATCCATCTCCTTGAGAGCAGTGGTGGCTTCACTTTCAGAAGTAAACTTCACAAATCCATAACCTCTCGATTTCCCACTCACGTGATCACATATAACTTTAACTGTTTAATACGATGACCCAATTGCTCAAGTAAGTACATGGTATCATTACATCATCCACAAGAAAATAAAGATCTACAAATATAACAACCACAAAGAGTTTAATGTTACCTTCAATTATTTCACCATGTTTTCCAAAAGCTTCCTTAAGAACAGGTTCGTTTGTATCCCAGGAAAGTCCTGCATATTACAGACAACTTAAGCTGTAGTGTAATTACAATATCAAAAGCCTTTGAAGTTAAAATCCAAAAATTCAATGTTATATCTTTCATCAACAATTCAAATACAAATGCGATATTCTAAACTGCTCTTATCTGCAGTGAAGGGGGTTCAAATTCCGGTGCAAGAGTGCGGGCACACCGCCCGTTGCCAATTCTGCAAACCCTTTATAGTGATTGATTTAGCTAGTGATAAGTTTTCAACCTGGGATTGGCGGAGGTGGCTAGAGCAGTGCACTCCCCCTCTGCACCCAAGTTCGAGTTTTCTTCGACAGTTTAGATGAATTTAGCGTAAATTATCCGTATTGTTTGTCCAAAAAAGAAGGCTTCGACCACAAAATTTAACTCAAATAAAATGGACCCAGAAGAAAATGAAAAACAAAACTCAAAAAGAAATAAAACGGAGGAAAGGGATAAGTTTGGCAGACCTGAAACGAACAATTTGGAGCAGGAGTGGCGAGTGAGTAAAATCCTGGCCAAGACAGACATGCGCAGAATTCCAACTACGCCATTTGCGCATCTCATTTCACCTTACCCTGCGCCGGTCTATTGGGAAGAAGATGGCTGCCAAACACCGCCGTCATGAGCTTACTGAAGGCTCGTTTATCCGGCTGTGGTTCAAGTAAAATGAGCTAGGCGAGCTGGGTTTGCTGGGTTTGTTGGAGGAGAGAAAGGGCTTGCAAATTTGGGCAAGGAATTCTACCCAAAAACACCAATTGTCATTTAGTATCAAGGATTGGATTGGGCTGATCAACTCCAAAGGTGCATTGAAAGTAAAGTTGGACGAATTTTCATTCTGAAGCGATTAAAGTGAGAAAGAACTCACAAATCCTATCATTTTAAGGAGGTGTCAAAATGGTCCATAAGTTTAACATAACTCCTTACTTTATTCTCTGATAATGAAAATCAATAGAAGTAGTCCATGAATTTATCAATAAATTATTTTGGTTCTTTTGTCAATACATTCATTAAATTGTCACATTAATAGCCACATGATGTGATCACTTTTTACAGCATTTTTGTTAACCCAACATCTTAATGGAAATATTGACAAGTTTTTCGTGAAATAACCAAAATAATTTATAATAAATAAACTCAAGAACTACTTTTATCGATTTCCATCGTCAAGAATCAAAATAAGAAATTAACCAATTTCATAAACTATTTTAACTAAAAAAACCTTTTTTGGATGAATCTAGGGTTTTCCTGCACGTAGGCGATGACTAATCCCTTGAGCCAAGTCGAACCCCATTCGGGAGCAAGATCTCCCAATGTTGACTTCTCCATTCACAAGGCTCGAACTTGAGACTAGGCCTGGCAAACGGGTCGTGTCAGTCGTGTTCGTGTCGTTTTCGTGTAACACCTGTTATCTTAATGGGTCGTGTCGTGTCACACCCGTTATCTTAACGGGTCCTTAACAGGTCGTGTCACTTTACCCAACGGGTAAAGTGACCCGACCCGTTATGACCCGTTATGACCCGTTAAGAAAAATATATTTTTTTTTCTTAAATTTGCACATACCACACATTGCCACATAAATATTACTTCAAAACATTAAAAACACATTTGTCGTTTAAGTACTACATCTACACTAAAAAAAATAAGAGCCTAATAAAAAAATAATACATACACTACTAATCTATTACAAATTTTAAATGTGCAAGGATATGCAAAATGAAACAGTTTTTTGTTTTCAAGGTTGTGAAATCTTTCTCAAAAGTTTAAACCTCAATTTACAAAATCCTCGATTTACATCGATCATCATTAAATTGCATTGGAACTTTGGCTTGATCTATTGCCTTCAAGAGTTATGTTGATGATATTTTCAGTAAGGTTTTCCACGTCATAACTATCTTCTGCATAAACTAAGCATAGAAAAACCAAACATTAAAAATCATTCAAATTATGAGAAGTTTACCAAAATAATTATGAAAAAAAATAAAACAATAGTACTATACCATACTTTTATTAAGTATAAACATAAGATTTTGTGGTATCCACTAATGTAAATATTTTAAATTGAAGATCGAATTCAATCATTGTATTCATATAAGGTCAAGGAGTGTAGTTCTAAACAATCATCAAAATCGGAGTTAAATTAACCGTTAAATCGTGATTTTTCGTGTATAACCGTCGAAAAGTTTTGTCCCGTTACTTGCTCTCTGAATGTTTTTGTTTTGCAATTTTTGGCGTATGCGATCTCGAAATATATATAAACATGTTTGACGGTTGGATCATTGAAACTAGTTTCGTAGAATGAGTATCCCATTAAAACAATAGATTCACTAATACTTAAGAGTTTATTCATACTTTTATTAAGTATAACATAAGATTTTGTGGTATCCACTAGTGTAAATATTTTTTAAATTGAAGATCGAATTCAATCATTGTATTCATATAAGGTCAAGGAGTGTAGTTGTAAAAAATCATCAAAATCGGAGTTAAATTAACCGTTAAATCGTGATTTTTCGTTATAACCGTCGAAAAGTTTTGTCCCGTTACTTGCTCTCTGAATGTTTGTTTTTTGCAATTTTTGGCGTATGCGATCTCGAAATATATAAAAATATGTTTGACGGTTGGATCATTGAAATTAGTTTCGTAGAATGAGTATCCCATCAAAACAATAGATTCACTAATACTTAAGAGTTTATTCATACTTTTATTAAGTATAACATAAGATTTTGTGGTATCCACTAGTGTAAATATTTTAAATTGAAGATCGAATTCAATCATTGTATTCATATAGGGTCAAGGAGTGTAGGTGTAAAAAATCATCAAAATCGGTGTTAAAATGACCGTTAAATCGTGATTTTTCGTTTATAACCGTCGAAATATTTTGTCCCGTTACTTGATCTCTGAATGTTTGTTTTTTGCAATTTTTGGCGTATGCGATCTCGAAGTATATATAAACATGTTTGACGGTTGGATCATTGAAACTATTTTCGTAGAATGAGTATCCCATCAAAATAATAGATTCACTAATACTTAATAGTTTATTCATACTTTTATTAAGTATAATATAAGATTTTGTGGTATCCACTAGTGTAAATATTTTAAATTGAAGATCGAATTCAATCATTGTATTCATATAAGGTCAAGGAGTGTAGCTGCAAAAAATCATCAAAATCAGAGTTAAAATGACCGTTAAATCGTGATTTTTCTTTTTATAACCGTCGAAAAGTTTTGTCCCGTTAATTGATCTCTGAATGTTTGTTTTTTGTAATTTTTGACGTATGCGATCTCGAAGTATATACAAACATGTTTGACGGTTGGATCTTTGAAACTAGTTTCGTAGAATGAGTATCCCATCAAAACAATAGATTCACTAATACTTAATAGTTTATTCATACTTTTATTAAGTATAACATAAGATTTTGTGGTATGCACTAGTGTAAATATTTTAAATTGAAGATCGAATTCATTACCTGTATTCATATAGGGTCAAGGAGTGTAGTTGTAAAAAAGCATCAAAATCGGAGTTAAAATAACCGTTAAATCGTGATTTTTCGTTTATAACCGTCGAAAACTTTTGTCCCATTACTTGATCTCTGAATGTTTGTTTTTTGCAATTTTTGGCGTATGCGATCTCGAAGTATATACAAACATGTTTGACGGTTTGATCATTGAAACTAGTTTTGTAGAATGAGTATCCCATCAAAACAATAGATTCACTAATACTTAAGAGTTTATTCATACTTTTATTAAGTATAACATAAGATTTTGTGGTATCCACTAGTGTAAATATTTTAAATTGAAGATCGAATTCAATCATTGTATTCATATAGGGTCAAGGAGTGTGGTTGTAAAAAATCATCAAAATCGGAGTTAAAATGACCGTTAAATCGTGATTTTTCGTTTATAACCATCGAAAAGTTTTGTCCCGTTACTTGCTCTCTGAATGTTTGTTTTTTGCAATTTTTGGCGTATGCGACATGTTTGACGGTTGGATCGTTGAAATTAGTTTCGTATAATTCGTATCCCATGAAGTTCAATAGTGTGTGTGTGTGTGTATATATATATTTATTTATTAAGTAGATTTAAATCTATTTATTTTGTATGTATAATTATTATAGTTTTTAGGGGTATAAAATTTAATATATATATATATATATAATTATTATAGTTAATATTTTGGGTATAATTATTTATATAGTATATAATATTATTATAATTATTATAGTTAATTTAATATATATATATATATATATAATTATTATAGTTTTTAGGGGTATAAAATTGTTAAATTAATATATATATATAATTATTATAGTATTTTTTTAGGGTTATAAATTATTAAATTAATATTCTGCTTATCGTGTATCGTGTTACCCACGTGTATACCCGAACAAACCCGTTATCTTAACAGGTGCTTATCGGGTTACCCGATAATAACCCGTTTCGTTATCGTGTCGACCCGAACACCTGTTAATTTCGTGTCGTGTCGTGTCGGTCGGGTTATCGGGTCGTGTCAGGAATTGCCAGGCCTGCTTGAGACCTTGCTTAAGAAGAACAAACTTCTTAACACTTGAACCACCAAGCATTGGTACTAAAAAAAACCTTTTGACAACACTAGAAATGATAAAATTCCTACATGAGTAATACATCTTCAACCTCAAAGATGAAAATATTTTTATCATTTCCGCCATCAACAAACCTTGAATATAACCAGAGACATAGAGTAGAATTATCTCCCTTCTTTTATTCACGTCCCTCTTATTTGAACAAAATTACATCAATATTTTATATTAATTTTTTGTAAAGAAAAAAAAAAGACAAAATAAATAATGTAAAAAGAGAAAATGAAGAAGGATGGAAAGAGAAAGAAAGAAAATCCTAATCCTATGACAAGTTACTCAGTAATCAACTAGTTTGAGTTATTCAATCAACTCCTTAACAAACCTTGAATATAACAAAGTTACGCAGTAATCAACCAGATTGACTTATTCAATCCACTCAAATCAGCGCAAGTGATTAAGAGTTAAGAAAGGTGCTAAATAAGGCAAAGGGAATATGGCATAAAACAGGAAATCATATGCCTGAGAAAAGCAAAAAGGAGGTTCCTTTCTTCAAAAGCATTCGATAAAGCAACCCATCAACAAATAGCACCTCAAATCAAAGGGAATAAGAGAATCTCACATCTCATCATACACACATACCAAACGGAAGTAATGCCAGAAACAAGGGGTTTCATAAATGGATTCCAACAAGATCAATAAACCTAAAACTTGAACATCATCATCACATAAGATTATTGGAATTTCAAGTCTTGGTATCTCTTTTCCCTACAACCAACAAAGACATAGACCTGCATACAGATTACATACAAATGGGGAGGGTCACGAACTAAATCTAAACATGGAGGTTTGATTCATAAAAAGCTAAACATTTGGTGGGTTGATTTGATGGAGAAACCTAAGCCTTCTTGGGAGACTTGGTAGCCTTCGATGGCGATTTTGGCTCTTTTCCGGCGGCCTTTTCTGATTTCTTGGGCAGGAGGACTGGGTTAATGTTTGGAAGCACGCCGCCGTGAGCAATGGTCACACCAGCAAGCAATTTTCCAAGCTCCTCATCGTTCCTCACAGCAAGTAGCAGATGCCTTGGGATAATCCTGTTCTTCTTGTTGTCCCGAGCTGCATTTCCAGCCAATTCCAGCACCTGGACAAAACAAGAAAAACCCACATCAGGAATTTTTCTCGGCAACCAAACAGAAATTTAGGGGAAAAACCTGCTAACACATACACTCAAAACTCAAAATTTAGGGGAAAAACCTGCTAACACATACACCCAAAATTAAGCACAACACAGACACTCAAAACTCAAACCCTAGCCGAGAAAAACAAGATCAAACCCACAAATCAATCTTGAGAGAGGAGAGAGAAACTTACTTCAGCTGCGAGGTACTCGAGCACAGCGGCTAAGTAAACCGGAGCTCCAGACCCGACTCTCTGAGCATACCTCCCCTTCTTCAAGTAGCGACCGATTCTTCCGACTGGGAACTGGAGGCCGGCTCTGACGGACCGGGTCACCGCCTTCTTCTTCGGACCACCGCCCTTCCTTCCCCCGGCACCTTTCTTCAACTTACCACCAGTCTCCATATCTCAACCCTAAATCACTGAGAATCTGAGACCCTTTTGACTCAATTATCCAAATCGGAAATGGAGAGAAAGAATTGAAAATTTTCAGACAGTGGTTTAGGTAATCTGTTTGAGGATGCGCTTTATAGGGTGGGATGTATTGTGGATCATATTGTTTCAGGGAATATCGAAGGCTTCAGGAGCTGGTTGGAGAATTGTGGCCGTCAGATGGGGGTCTTATCGACGGTAGTGGACGCTTATGTAGCCATCCGCGTAGTGAGTATTTGACCAATGGGGAGCAAGGTTTTTGCTTTGTTTTTGTTTGAGTGGGATTTGGATCCTCTCCGTGGCAATTGGTCGGGAGGGATCCTCTGACTAGTGTTCATGGACCGTTGGATTTTTATCTAATAGTTACAATTATTATAACTTTTAGAGGGCCCCCTGTTTGTAACCGTTGGATAAAAATCCAATGGTCCACAAACACTGATCAGGAGGATCCCGACCAGTTGCCTCGGAAAGGATCCAAATATGTTTGAATGGTGTGTTATTCACATATCTTTTTACTTTTCACACATTATTCTCAATTTCTAGTCGTCAGATCCAATGAAAGTCAAAAAACATAAATTAACAAGGCGTAAAAAGTAAAATTTAGGGTGCGGATAGTATCGTCCTTTTGTTTTTGGTTTTTTGTTTTCTTATTTTTGGTGATTAAAAAGTGGCACATGATATTGGTCCATGTTTCCTTTTTTTCAATTTCCCGCTGCAATTTTGGTTAGCTATTTCAAATTTTGGAGAATGTGAAATTTGTTTATAGAGGTTGTTAAACAAATTTTATAAGTCACTTAGCACTACAATCTAATGGTATTGCTCTTAATTTGTAAGTGAAAGGTCTTAGATTCGATTCTTGTCAAAAGTCAATTTAAATCACATTATTATTAGTACATTGTGTGGTTAAACCCAACTCTCTTTCCTTTAGTGAATATAATATTGTTTGTTAAAAAAAATAAAAAATTTAGGAATGGTAAACTAAGTTTTAGGAACAAACTGATGTTGATGTTTTGACGGTGGAGGATGAGTACAAGTAGACTATAAATTCGAGTGTTTCAAGTATGAGGCTTTGTAAACCATCATCGAATGGTATAATGATTGGGATGAATTTCAGACCTATATTTCATACGATTTGTTCTGAGTTTGATTCTTGATATTGGTAAATCACATGATGGTGATCGACGGGAAGCTGAAACATCTCTATAAGTTTTCCCGGCCCCCAAAAAAATACATTGTCATAGCTTCGCCACTAGCTAGTCCCTTTTTCTGCAAAAAAAAAAGGTGTATGAGGCTTTGTATGCAAGATAAAGCATAGATTACTTATGTGTGAAGTTCAATATGAAATCCAAAAATACTTAAAAAGTCTCAATTGTGCATTTCTAAAAAGTCTCAATTTTGTGCATAGAATGATTCAAACCCCTTCCATTTGACTCCTTCAACCCCTTAACCACCATATTACTTATGTTTTTGTGATAATATGCTAAAATATTTATATATATGGTTTTGTTTTGAATTCTTTTTACAAGAAACAAATTTGCACATATTCCAAATTTTTTGTGGTATTATATTTTAAATTGTGTCAATTAATTACTTAGTCAATGACATGTGGTTTTTAGTTTTTATATTTTTTATTTGGTCACTTACGTAGTAGGGCTGGAAAAAATTCCCGAAAATCTCAAACCAAACCGAAAAAGTCCCAAACCCAAACCGAAAAATCCCAAACCAAAACCATCCCGAAGTTCAAGAATCCCATCCCGAAAAATACCGAAATTTTTGATATGGGATTGGTTTCCAAATCCCATTTGTTTGGTAATCCCGAAAAATACTGAAGTATTCGGTTTCCTATTGACTTTTGGGTTTTGGTTCTTGAAAGCCATTGTCATGGTTGTTGACTACTCTTCACAATACACTTACTCTACACATAGAGATGATGAAGATAATGAAAATTTTGAACCTCATAGGAACTCTATGTGGTACTAAGTCATTCATGTATCTTACCATGCAATGTATAAAGTGTAAAATATTGTACTAATTCATTATATATAAATGATTATGATGTGTTTAAACTTCTTTCATTAATTACTACATATTTTCTACACTCACAATATTTGCCAGCTCGCTATATAATCAACTTAAATCAGTTAAATCCATCATGCAATGCATTTCCTTCTAATTTTTGTGATAAACTAATAGATAATTGACTAAATAAACATCCTACAAAGTTTCAATAAAAATTGCCAAGTTTTTCTTACAATTTCCGTGGTTTTTATTTAATTTTTATCAATATCGATAATATCCCGATATTTTCATCGATATTTCCGTGTTTTTGGACTACCGATATTTCCAATATCATCGATATTTTATACCTTGCCTATGACTCATTAGATCTCTTTGTTAATGGTAAATATTTTCAGCTCCTCAACTAGTGGTTATAACAAAAATGCCCCTGCATTTAACAACCCGTTTTTGTTTTAAGTTTGATTCTCACTCCGAATGCGTCCACGCGTTTGTAATGAGTACTACAAAAATATATTAATTAATACGCCACACGTGTTACAAAAATAAAGTCAACAAAGTTCAACATGTACTCTTTTAGGGATATTTTGGTCAATTTACACAAAAATTACGAATGGTTCGTAACACACCATCGCACACCTTAGCCAATGGAGAAGGTTGTGGTTGAGTTCCATAACTTTGAAAAATCCATATTATTTTAGTGGTGAAATAGTGTAACACCTTTTTTTTTAACAAATAGTGCAATACACTTTGGCCTTGTTCAGCAGCTCGGATTGTACTGACTATTTCAGTCGAATATAATAAATAATCGTCGAATTGTACTGACTAAAATAATCAGGCGTTTGGTGTTTTATGGGATTAATTTCTACATCGGATAATACGTCGGACTATAATAATTTTTTTAAATTATTTCACATAATAATTGTTGTTAAGATGAAAAAAAGGAGAAAAACAAAGAAAAAGAGAGAAAAAATGAATTAAACATTATTACAGAAAAAATTTAAAAATAAAAAAGGAATGGGAAATTTAATTCGAACCTATATAGAACAATACTTGGTTATTCAAAGATGAATAGAAACTCCTACTCAAAAACTCTTCGTGTTTGAATCACAGAGCTTTGTGCTTATAATCAGAACTGTTCATATTATAAATCACATTGTAAAGATCATTATTGTAAAAAATGAATTAATACTAAGGTTGTTTAGTTAATCTATTATAGCAAACACGTAGACGGTTTGTAATACTTTTATCAATTTCATTCATTTGTTTTTATACAGTTCGATGACTAAACAACCTTAGTTTTAATTGATTTTTTACATAGGGGATATTTACAGAATGATTTATAAAATGAACGATTCTGATTATAAAAACGAAGTTCAACAAAATCGACAACGAATAATTTTGAGTAGGAACTCCTACTCCTTTGACTAGGCAAGTATTGTTCACCCATATAACATCTTTCTACACAAAACTTAAATTTTAAGGTACTGTTTGGTACGTGGGATGAGACGAAATGCGCTCGTCCCACGTTTGATGCGCTAAAAAGAGTGGGATGCACTATCCCTTGGAACAAATTTTGGTCATTTTTTCGTTCCACCTCTCTCCCCTAGAACTACTCGTTCCACCATGTGGAATACAAAATTATAATTTTTTTGGACAACAATACCCCTCCTCTTTTTCGTTAATTCCACTGTCTACCATCCCTCCAAGCCTCCCTCTCTTCTACCCTCCCTCTTACGTAGCCTCCTCCTCCTCCACCACAAACCCAGCAACCCAACTATGGTTAACCCAATCCCAGCAAACCATCTGAACCCAAACCCAGCTTCCTCCCACCGCCTCCCTCCTTCTTGCTAGTCCCACGACGAGACCGTCGCCAGTGACGCCGAGGACTCGCATAGCAAGCACCGACGACGACAAAAAGAGCAAAGAGCAGACCAAGACCGTCGTTGACGATGTCGAAGCTCATCCACCGCCGCCTATTCAGTCCCCCCCCCCCGGCGCTCCACCTTTTTCTCCGACGCCGTCACCATAGCCAGGACTCGCACGGCTTCTTTTTCATATATTGGAAGATGCATCTTCAGAGTGTTAATGATGGAGTAACTGAAATTTTCTGGGAGCTGCTTCTTCAGGTGCAATTGCAAAAGCAGAACCCGCCCCCTCAAGATGGGAGTGTTCCGAAATTAGTCAGTTTTATTACGGATTATTGTAATAAACTATACATACTGTTTGAATGTTATAATATATATGTAATCTTACTCATACTCATTGTTTTGATTAAGAATGAGGACCAATGCATGCTGATGCATTTCCTACCTTATCAGGGAAATATCACGGCAGCTTCCAATTTATATGATGCAATGTATTAAGGAGGTTGATTAAGTAGGGATCTTGATATTCAGGATGGTCTAAGTTTTCAAATTTAATATCCTAGTAATCAAGTACTTAGAATATTGTGTTTTTAGTTATGCGGTTGGGTTGGAACTTGATGATTATTATTTCTTATGTTGTAGTGGACTAGGAAGTTGTGCTAGTGTTTAATTAGGTTGTTGCTAAGCCTATGAAAAGGCTAGAATTGTTAAGGAATGGGGGGATTAAGTATTTTGAATGATTTTATGTAAACAGGGACTAGTTCTCTATATGTTCCTTGGGTCTAGTTGTGCTTGAGATTTCAATAATCCTCTCTCTGTATTCCTCCCCGCATTAATATAGAAGCGCTAGAAATGGTTGCAGAGAAGAAAAAGATGCATCTTTGCTATTTCATATGTTCAATTTTCTCAACTTATATACACGGTACGAATATATGAACACAGGAAAGTCTATATCTGCCAGTAATGCTAGTGTAAAAAATATATCATAGATAAACATATATGTGTTCAAATATGAACAAGTTACAAAAAAAATTAAAAAATGTCTCGTCCCTTCCCACGCATAAACATTGCACCAAATAACAAACGGAATAGGGGTAAGTTAGTCATTTAATATTTTGGTTCCGTGCCATCATGCGCTTACCAAACGCAGAACGGAACAACCGTCATGGAACCTTCGTTATGTTCAGTCCCGTCTGCGTACCAAACGGTACCTAAATGTGAATTGTTTTTCTTATACTATTGTATAATTACCATCAAGTATTGTACACAATAAGATCAACAATAAAACTAAAATTTATCAATAAACTCACACCCAATAATTAAACCATAATTTCACACAATGTTTATCCTCCATTCATTTCGGCTAAAACCATTATGGCGTGTTTACCAAACCGGAGCGGAATGGCAAGAAACGGAATTGCATTCTTTTCCAGGCATTCAAGCCGTTTACTAACATTTCCGGAATGAAAAACAAGATGGGGTCCACTTAAAATCATGAATTAGATCCCTAAATCTCCCGGAATCGAATCCCCTAGATGGAGGTGGTATTTGGATTCTGGAGAGAAGGCTCTTCCATGAATCCAACTTTTATACCCAAATTACCCCTAGATGGATGGGCTTCGAAGACTTAGTTGGTGGAATGGGTTGTCATTTGCCAATTGAACGACACTCTAACACCTGGAATTGAAGTTGCAGCCTGCAGTAGTGGTGGATCCACTGCTATGGTGGTTGTGGGGTATATTCCAGTGGCTGTATGGTTGGAGAGAGATGGAGGGAGATGAGAAGTAGATGGAAAAATAAGGGGGGGGGAAGCTGAAAATAGTTGGGGTATTTGTGGTGCAGACCATGAAAGAAGATAGTTGGGGTATGAGACGGCAACGAGACCGAAGTGCAACTGGACAAGGAAAGGCAGGGGGTGAAGGGCAGTGCAAGGAAAGGCAGGGCGGGCTATGGAGGCGTAATGGGGTGGATTTGGTAATTGGCAAGTTTGGAAAGGCATGGGTGGGTGGAGAAGGGAATCTGATTAAGAAATTTAATTTAATTAAGATATAGATGAATTTTATTATATAAATTTAATTAATTAGTATGAAAATAATTTATTTATGTAAGGGCAATTTAGTAATTAACCTAGTTTTAATTCAGATTGAAGTGAATTAGTAAACAACTTATATGTATTCAACATCATTCCTACTCCGATTCCAGACAGTTTTAGTAAACAACTCCATCAGGAATCTGATTCTGATTCTATCTCATTTCAATTCCTCATAAATCCAATTCCTCTCAATCTGATTACGGATTAGTAAACGTACCCTAAGAGCTCTTATAGAGAAAACTAGCTTCTTATTTTTTATCGGTGGATGGTGATTTGAAGTTTTAAATCATCCAACTAAAATATGAATTGATTTATGCAATTCTTTACGTTTGATTTCAATTTTTTTTAGAGTTGAGAAGACAGGTTTTTAGGTTTTAATTCATAACCATCAACGCTGGAAGTTGAAAATATGAGTTATTGTGTTTTGCTATGTAAATGGTGGCGAAGCCTCCCCGGCCAATTTGGTTTCCTCGAATCCACTCCATCACCATGGTAGAAAATCTAGGGCTAACCTAAAGAATCAAGGGTTTGCTACCACTTACGAACATAATGTTTGCTACCACTTACCTTAGATCATGGAATAATTGAAAATTGTTTCATCAGGATTCAGGAGGCAGCAGGTAACACAACAAAGAGACACCAAAACACAAACGAATTAGCAACAACAGCCATGGGAGCCATAGTGATGTACGCAGCTCCAGCAATGGGGCGCATCATCTTAAGAAATTCTATTAATTTCTACACGCCATAATGTTGTACTACATCAACTATGACGTAATGTTGTATTACATTAACGAAAGCACGCCATACGACTCTATGCTTATGTAATTTGGGATTTTATTCAATTTGGGATTAAAGAAATATTAGTTTTGTAATTAAAAATTATTCAATTTGCAATTTTATTTTTTAAATGGATGTAAAGATAAATTTACATATTGAATTGAGTTTGTGAGGGTATATTAGGTAATAAATTTGGATTTAAAGAGATATTAATTTTTTAATTAAAAATAATATGGATATAGAGAGTAAGTTAGGTGTAGAAATAAGTTACAAAGGTTCAAATAAAATTTCCAAAAAATTAAACATCACCACTTCCCCACGAAGGAATATGTTTTTTGAATATTTAACAAAAAAAAAATATGTTTTTTGAAACCCAAGCAGCCATTACACCAACAACAAAAAAACACAGCCTTTACACCAACACGAAAAAAAACCCAGCTAGCTTTCGATCTCGTTGCCACCTTCAATTTCTTTCATATTCAGAAACCAATTAAAGCATCCAAATTTGCAAAAGCAACCACCAAATTACATAATCGATGGTCACTCGCTTAGCCAGCAAGCTGCAATTTCGTGCTTTACAGAGAAATCGGTGCTGCTCTCTCTCTCTCTCTCTCACGGCTTCTAATCCACTAACTAAAAACCCAGATGAGATTTCTTCCATTCTGGTTCGATCTGCCACCACAGGTGTATGAACAAGAATGGTGCAACGTGGTTTCGATTCAGCATTCCTGGTTTTGTGTTTGTATCTGCTTGATGTTGATTGAAGGTGGGGAGAGAGAAAGAGAGAGAGCAGTAATTCCTGCGATGCGCTGGAGCCATGGTCTAAAATATCCATAATATCCCGATATTTCTATCGAAATTTCCCTGTTTTTGGACTACCGATATTTTTTTGGACTACAATATTTCCGATATCATCGATATTTTAGACCTTGCTAAGTCACTCATTTATCTTACCATGCAATGTCTAAAGTGAAAAATATTGTACTACTTCATTATATATAAATGATTATGGTGTGTTTAAACTTCTTTTATTAATTATTACATATTTTCTACACTCACAATGTTTGCCAGCTCGCTATATAATCAACTTAAATAAGTTATATCTATCATGCAATGCATTTCCTTTCAATTTTTTGTGATAAACTAATAAATAATTGACTAAATAAATATCCTGCAAAGTTTCAATAAAAATTTCCAAGTTTTTTTTACAATTTCCGTGGTTTTTATTTAATTTTTATCGATATCGATAATATCACGATATTTCCATCGAAATTTCCGTGTTTTTAGACTACCGATATTTCTAATATCATCGATATTTAATACCTGGAGCGAGCGTTAGCATGAACCTGACTAATACGAACGATTTGGGGAGGATAAGTAGCCAAGTGTAGGGTGTATTAAATTAGCAGGTGCAGACTAATTATCCATGGCTATTTAACACATAAAATACCAAACAACTGGGCCGTATTATTAGTGCTATCTGATTTTTTATACGAGCTTCCAAATGAAGTCATTGGCACCCATTTGTCAAGTTCATTTTTATGCCTTAATTAGGGCAGTGTTGAGTTATGCATAATTTGAGTCCATGTTATGTGGATAGCTTGATATAACATGTGGGATATTTCTTTTTTGTTTCCTACTGTCTCTCTCCATTCTTCTACTGTTCTTCAGCCCTTCATTTATACACATTATCTCTATTGCAAAGAAAACTAATGAAACTCTCCCTGTGAGAGACCTTCCCTCTGGTTGAGGGTGATTCTCACCGATCTGTGTGAGTGGTTCCTAATCGAGTCCTCTTCTGTTGTCGCCGATCCTAGCTACAGCTGGGATCGATGGGTTCTCTTTTGTTTCTTTCTCCCTCTCTTTCCCTTCTTCCATCCATTGTTTTTTTTTGCTTGGGTTTTTTGGCTAATCTGCTTTCTTCTCTCGCCTCTGATGTCTCTCATCAATCTTCATCCAATTTCCGAGCTTCAGTCATCCTTGACCACGATTTGTTGCTGTGTTTTGAGTTGGTGTGTATCGATCTAGTGCTTCTACTGGGTCGGGTGTTCCTTGCACCATCACCTTCTCGATGTCTGCCTTTGTTGGCAATGTTGCTCGTGGACTCCCACGAGCTTCTTTCAATTGGATGCAGGTTCTTGGTTGTCTGTAGTTGTGCTCAGAGTGAAGCTTGGATTTGGTTGGTGGTATCGATGAGGCGCGGCTTAATTTGGATGGATCGACATGCACGACTGTTGTTTTGGTGGTTGCAGTGGCGGTGGTGGCGGAAGATGCAACAAAATCAGATGTTTCTGGGTTTTCTTTTGTTTTGGTCTTAACTTTTGGTTGAGCCACTGTTGTTTGTTTGTATGTTTCGTTTTTGGGCCTTTGTGTGGTATATTTTGAACATTTGTGTTGTAATGTTTTTTGTTGGTAATGAATGTTACCTTTGATAAAAAAAAAACGAAATAATTATCAAAGAATATTTTTTACATACATGAGATGTTCTACGAGTTTATGACATTATAAATCGCATATCAGCAGGTTGTTGAGTTTGTACCCCCAAAACAATTTTTGTTCTACTTCTGGGAAGAGGATCCTCTCTGGACCCACTTTGTGGAGATCCTAGGAATCTCCACAATCTAGCCGTTCATTGTACATTGTGCGGCCAGTTTTCGTCAAGTACTATTTGTGTTTAATTTTAAATTAAAAAAATCAAATAATTTTTAACCGCACGATACATAATGTATGACTAAGATATAAGAATCCCTAGGGGTGCGTTTGGTACGTGGGATGGGACGGAACAGAGTGGGACAGACGCGTTCCGTCCCATGTTTGGTACACTAAAATTATGTGGAACGCGTGTCCCACAGAACGAAAATGGGTTAAATTTTGGTTCCCCCTCCCCCCTGGAATGGGTTTTTCCATCCCGTGGAACACAAAAATCATAAAATTTAAGACAAAAATACCCCTTAGATTTTTCAATATTTACACCTTCTAAATCATACAACAAACCCTATCTATCATCTTCTCTTCTCTGCCGCTGTGAAGTTCTTCATCCCTGCATCTCCCCTTTGCAACCTTCATCCTCATCCTCTTCCTAAACCCCTTTCACCTCAAATGTCGTTGCACCTTTTGGAGTCGCATGATACCACATGAACCGACTGAAACCCGAACGCATCTGCAGACCGAAACACCGTCGATACATTGCCGAAATCTCCCAATCCTTTAACCACTAGACACACCTCGTAACTCCGATTCTTCACCACTTTCCTAAACTTCTCCTTCCTCACATACATTATGTACGGATCCACCGCTTTAAGCACCTCACCGCTATTGAGAAAAGCACCTTCACCGCAGCTAAACTTGTCCAGATGCGAGAACCATCGACCGCCGATTTGGTGTGCAGACTCGTGGCGGCGTTCCATTTTCATCAGGCGCGCGACTTTGTTTTTCTTCCTCAGAAGCTCCTCCACGGTTTCCTGAGTCGGGTTCTCCGGCGGTTCTAGGGTTGAGTCCGCGGAGTGAGCTTCGTCTGTGAAATCTGCAGCAGCTGCTTCATATGAAATTGAAGCGTATGGCCGTGAATGAACATTGTACGGAGCATGCCTGAGTGCTAATTTCAAATTCAAATCACAAAATTGAGTTAGAAATGTGTGTATGAGTGTCGAGAGACAAAGAGTACCTTGGTTGGAAGGAAGCGGAGAGAAGAGGAGGGAGGGGGAGTGGAGAAGAGAGACAGTGGGTCGATTGGTTCGGAGGGTGGAGGTGATTGAGGAGAGAGATGTACATACTAGGGTTTTGCAGATAGTGGGTCGGTTAGTCATTTTAACATTTTGGTTTCGTTCTGTCTTGCGCTTACCAAACGCAGAATAGAACAACTCTCCCGTTATGTCATGCGCATACCAAACATAACATGGAACCATTATTCCATCCCGTCCTGTCCCGTCCCGTCCCGTCCGCGTACCAAACGGTACTTAGAGTTCTCACAATTTGGTTCCAGATCCAAATCCCTACTTTTGTAACGGAACTAACTCAACCCATGTCGCAGGCAGTTGACCCGTTAAAAATGCCCACCCGTAAGTGATTATTAATTACCCCTCAAATGGTAAATTTTATTCACTTTGAGTCCGCCAATAAAAAGGAGCCTCGATTTTCCAGCTGGGTGGGCAAGTCGGAAGACCCGCCACAAAAACCAAGGGCCTATCAGTCTTTTCGCAACCCTGACCCACACGCGTCAAGCCATGATAGGACAGACCTACCTTCTCCTTGCCCCGTTGTCACGCATGACATGCCCTCCATGATGATATTTAGAGGAGGACTGGGAAGGTGGGTGAAAGAGAAGCCACAACAACCACCACCGTCTCGGCAGCAAAAGCCATTCAAAGCGCACACCAAACGCCAGAGAGCAATCAGTCCTCCATTTTCTGCCATAGTCGCAGCAACTCAGCTCCTTTTCGTTTTGGGATAGATTTTTCTGCAACCGCAATGGTCGGTATCTCTCTGCTGCTTCTTTTTCCCTGCGCATTGCTTTTTGTATAATTTTTTTTATTATTATTGTTTATCTTATTTCGGCTGTTTAATGGGTTTGGGTTATGATCTGATCGCTTCGTTATCATCTGCGATGGGTTTTGGAAGCACTTGTTTCAATCGATTGTTATCGATCATCGGATCTGAATTTGGGTTTTGTTTTGATTGTTGTGTCATTTAGTTGTCAGTAGACGAAGGTATTAGCTTTGATCACATACATATAGATATAGTCCTCATCTTTTGAGTTCTGGGTTGGTTCTTTGTGGTGGGTTTGTGGTTTTTTTTATATATATTTTGTCTTTTGGTATCGGTTCTGTTTATTGTGAAATTTGAACAGAGTTGCGTTGCACCGATTCCATTAGTCTAACAGTTGATGTGGTTGTCATTTTTTGGATGCATTGAGATTTAAATCTGATTAGAAAGCTGTTTTAGATTCTCACAATGTCAAATCTCCCGCATTTGGTTTTCTTTTCTGTTAATTGATCGAGAGTCGGGATTCAAGTGCTCGGTACTGGAGCAATGTCAACCGGCTGATCACAGATAAGAACTAATTTGAGTGATGCAATCTGATTACTTACGGATGTTGCGATGCTGAATTGTGTTTATCTTATTCTTGCAAGTATAGCACTAGTGCGGACTGTATGGAAATCGGTAATGGGCAGTCTGTAATCTAGGGCTGAAGGTAAACTAAGGAAGAAACGTACCTCAAGTAGCCTTATGCTGAACATTCTCGGTTTCAGATTGCTGGTCTTTGGTTTAGATATATAATCTCTAGGCCAACCTGCATAGTACAGGCTTAAATCGAAGGGATTCAAGTTGTATCATGTATTCATGACGTACTACTTTTTAAGAAATTAGGTGAGATAGAACCTCTAGAATGAGAGAAAGAGGGAGAGGAAAAGGAGGAGGACGGATGGGAGGGAAGGAGGCTTGCAACCTTTATGCCCCGTTTGATAACCATTTTGTTTTCAGTTTTAGTTTTCATTTTTTGTGCTAATGTAGACGGAGAGTATGTGGGAGAAATGAGGAATGGAAAGGATGAAGGGAGGTGGTGGGAGGGGTGACGGGAGAAATGAAGGAGATTATGTGAAAACAAAGACTTGAAAGTGAAAACAACTTCAAAATTGTTTTCAGTTTTCATTTTGTGTGTCGTTCCATACACCCCCTTCACATTTGTACCCCTCGTTCACCCTTATTCGTTCCTTCTCTCTCTCGCTTACTTTTCCTCAATCTATTTTTAGATATAATTAATTGTGTTCTTGAGAAATGCTGAGCTTTATTTTTTGGCCGAGTAGGACAGTGAATACATGTTTATTGTTTCAAAACTAGTGTGTGTTGGTTTTGTGGACATAAATTGCGAAAGAATAACATCTATCTTCTGTTTCATCCTATGAACAGGCTAACGCAGCGTCCGGATTTGCTGTGGATGATGACTGCAAGCTGAAGTTTCTGGAATTGAAGGCAAAGAGAACATATCGCTTCATAGTGTTCAAGATTGACGAGAAGAAAAATGAGGTGATTGTGGAGAAACTCGGTGAGCCAGCTGAAAGCTACGAAGACTTTACTGCAAACCTTCCTGATAATGAATGCAGATATGCTGTCTATGATTTTGACTTTGTGACTGCAGAGAATTGTCAGAAAAGCAGGATTTTCTTCATCGGATGGTAATATTATGACCTAAAAACGCGTCTCTCTATTTTTCGTGTCATTTTTGCTTATGTTCTTCGTATTCATAGGTCTCCCGACACAGCAAGGGTGAGAAACAAGATGATTTATGCAAGCTCCAAGGACAGGTTCAAGAGAGAATTGGATGGCATACAAGTCGAGCTGCAGGCTACTGATCCGACTGAGATAGGCCTCGATGTTATCAAAAGTCGTGCAAACTAAGAAGCCTGGTCTCTGTTATGGCCATTTTTCTCAAGCTCTGTTTTACTTTCAAGTGGAATGTTAATAGTGTGTGGGGTTGTGAACCTGACTACATTGTAATACTCGGTTTGAAATTTACATTACTGTGTTTTCTTCGACTAGAACGAGTCCTGCGATCTCGGTTTGTGGACGGAGATGAAAGAACTTATGCAATGAGTGTGTCCTTATAGTTACATCTAGAAGCTAATCATTCTTTTGTGTGCCTGTTATGATTTAACGGTGGAGGATGAGTACGAGTAGGCTGTGAATTAATGAGGCTTTGCACGCAAAATACACAAAATATGAAAGCATTTGTGTTTCTTACGACTCGTTCGAGCAGTTCCAGCGGGGAGAGAAAGGCTGCCAAAGTGCCCAAAACCTCTCCACCGGCCCAAACGATGGAGGGCGATTCGGTGGCTCCACCAAGTCTGTTGGAACTTGGACTACTAACTAATCCTGTAAACGGGTCGGATTTATTAGGTTTGAGTCGGATTTAACTTGATCCGTTAAGCTAACGGGTTATCCAAATCCAACCCGTTAAGTTAATGGGTCACCCAAATCCAACCCGTTAAGTTAACGGATCACCCATTTCACCCGTTACTGTTTTTTTTTTGGGGGTTTTTTGTGTTTTTTTACACATTTCATCCAAATCAATGCAAAAATGCAGCAATGCAATTCATGAGCCAACATGGAATGACAGATTACAATTAAAAGTGCTTCTGGAGGCCTCAACAATTATAGAAAACATTTACTATAAGATGATAAATGTTTTCTATAATAGATAAGAATAAATTGTCAGAATGCTGTTATAATGGAAAGTACTTTTGCTCGACTGAGTGGTATCAAGCCCATGCCCTCACCTCAAGTTGCTCATGTAGCCATTATAACAGAATGCTATAATAACTCAACCCATGTCGCATGCAGTTGACCCATTAAAAATGCCCACCCGTAAGTGATTATTAATTACCCCTGAAATGGTAAATTTTAGGGAACTTTAACGAAAAGCTCCCGGTACTATTCATTTTAACGAAAAACCACATTTTTACATAAAAAAGTCAATCATGTTACTATTCACTTTACCCTTTATTTTGTCCTTATCGTTAAAATTCAAAGTTTTCAAACCTTTTTCATTAGTTTTCTTTAAGTTTTATTCACTTTGAGTCCGCCAATAAAAAGGAGCCTCGATTTTCCAGCTGGGTGGGCAAGTCGGAAGACCCGCCACAAAAGCCAAGGGCCTATCAGTCTTTTCGCAACCCTGATCCACACGCGTCAAGCCATGATAGGACAGACCTACCTTCTCCTTGCGCCGTTTTCACGCATGACATGCCCTCCATGATGATATTTAGAGGGGGAGTGGGAAGGTGGGTGAAAGAGAAGCCACAACAACCACCACCGTCTCGGCAGCAAAAGCCATTCAAAGCGCACACCAAACGCCAGAGAGCAATCAGTCCTCCATTTTCTGCCATAGTCGCAGCAACTCAGCTCCTTTTCGTTTTGGGATAGATTTTTCTGCAACCGCAATGGTCGGTATCTCTTTGCTGCTTCTCTTTCCCTGCGCATTGCTTTTTGTATTTTTTTTTAATTATTATTGTTTCTCTTATTTCGGCTGTTTAATGGGTTTTGGGTTATGATCTGATCGCTTCGTTATCATCTGCGATGGGCTTTGGATGCACTTGTTTCAATCGATTGTTATCGATCATCGGATCTGAATTTGGGTTTTGTTTTGATTTTTGTGTCATTTAGTTGTCAGTAGACGAAGGTATTAGCTTTGATCACATACATATAGATATAGTCCTCATCTTTTGAGTTCTGGGTTGGTTCTTTGTGGTGGGTTTGTGGTTTTTTTATATATATTTGGTCTTCTGGTATCTGTTTTGTTTATTGTGAAATTTGAACAGAGTTGCGTTGCACCGATTCCATTAGTCTAACAGTTGACGTGGTTGTCAATTTTTGGATGCATTGAGATTTAAATCTGATTAGAAAGCTGTTTTAGATTCTCACAATGTCAAATCTCCCGCATTTGGTTTTCTGTTAATTGATCGAGAGCCGGGATTCAAGTGCTCGGTACTGGAACAATGTCAACCAGCTGATCACAGATAAGAACTAATTTGAGTGATGCAATCTGATTACTTACGGATGTTGCGATGCTGAATTGTGTTTATCTTATTCTTGCAAGTATAGCACTAGTGCGGACTGTATGGAAATCGGTAATGGGCAGTCTGTAATCTAGGGCTGAAGGTAAACTAAGGAAGAAACGTACCTCAAGTAGCCTTATGCTGAACATTCTCGGTTTCAGATTGCTGGTCTTTGGTTTAGATATATAATCTCTAGGCCAACCTGCATAGTACAGGCTTAAATCGAAGGGATTCAAGTTGTATCATGTATTCATGACGTACTACTTTTTAAGAAATTAGGTGAGATAGAACCTCTAGAATGAGAGAAAGAGGGAGAGGAAAAAGAGGAGGACGGATGGGAGGGAAGGAGGCTTGCAACCTTTATGCCCCGTTTGATAACCATTTTGTTTTCAGTTTTTAGTTTTCATTTTTTGTGCTTATGTAGAGGGAGAGTATATGGGAGAAATGAGGAATGGAAAGGATGAAGGGAGGTGGTGGGAGGGGTGACGGGAGAAATGAAGGAGATTATGTGAAAACAAAGACTTGAAAGTGAAAACAACTTCAAAATTGTTTTCAGTTTTCATTTTGTGTGTCGTTCCGTACACCCCTTTCACATTTGTATCCCTCGTTCACCCTTATTCGTTCCTTCTCTCTCTCACTCACTTTTCCTCAATCTATTTTTAGATATTATTAATTGTGTTCTTTAGAATTGCTGAGCTTTATTTTTTGGCCGAGTAGGACAGTGAATACATGTTTATTGTTTCAAAACTAGTGTGTGTTGGTTTTGTGGACATAAATTGCGTAAGAATAACATCTATCTTCTGTTTCATCCTATGAACAGGCTAACGCAGCGTCTGGATTTTCTGTGGATGATGACTGCAAGCTGAAGTTTCTGGAATTGAAGGCAAAGAGAACATATCGCTTCATAGTGTTCAAGATTGACGAGAAGAAAAATGAGGTGATTGTGGAGAAACTCGGTTGGCCAGCTGAAAGCTACGAAGACTTTACTGCAAACCTTCCTGATAATGAATGCAGATATGCTGTCTATGATTTTGACTTTGTGACTGCAGAGAATTGTCAGAAAAGCAGGATTTTCTTCATCGGATGGTAAATATTATGACCTAAACGCGTCTCTCTATTTTTCGTGTCATATTTGCTTATGTTCTTTACCGTATTCATAGGTCTCCCGACACAGCAAGGGTGAGAAACAAGATGATTTATGCAAGCTCCAAGGACAGGTTCAAGAGAGAATTGGATGGCATACAAGTCGAGCTGCTGGCTATTGATCCGACCCAGTGGCCATTTGTCTGAAGCTATGTTTTACTTTCAAGTGGAATGTTAATAGTTTGTGGGGTTGTGAACCTGACTACATTGTAATACTCGGTTTGAAATTACATTACTGTGTTTTCTTCGACTAGAACGAGTCCTGCGATCTCGGTTTGTAGACGAAGATGAAAGAACTTATGCAATGAGTGTGTCCTTATAGTTACATCTATTTATTTCAAACCCTAATTGATTGTTGAATACAAAATTTTGTTTAATTGATATAGGATTATAGGGTTATACATTATATGGTTATTGATTATAGATTATTTATATGAATACTATGATTATTGATTTTTGTTGTTGTTTTGAAGTACATAAAAGAGGATTGTTACATTATATATACATATAGGAACTTGAATCACATATAGTCTAGCAAGAAAAAAAAAAGCTGAACATGGTGAAGACTTTTACATCATATTTACATTAACATAATAAACCCCAATTCTACCAACTAAAACCCTCATTCAAATGCATTGTTGCTGTCGGTACTGATTAATTACATTCGTAGTCTACTCTAGGATAAAAATTGAATTCTTGATTATTCATAATTTCATATGATTGTTGGTACTGATTAATTAAATTCGTAGTATACTCTAGAATTAAGAGTCTAAAATATATACTTTGTTTCTTTCGTTATACAATTACGTAATGGAACGATACTATAAGAAACAGTGCTTAAATCCTTCTCCAAATATTCCGGGTAGTCCTCCTCCACCTTCAAATATTCCGAGTAGTCCTCCTTCGAGTATTCCGGATAGTGCACAACAAAGTGAGGTTATTGAGTTGGATGAAATATTAGCTAATTTTCCTATAGACCCTGGACTGAGACGTCGAATGCTTGATTATCCACTCAATTGTTGTGAAGCAATTCGTAGATACTACCTCCAAAAGGAACCTTGTCAACCTAAATCTCACATCATGCCAAGGAAAGCTAGCGACAATCAATGTTTTATCACAGGTTGGTTTGATAAATTTAAGTGGTTAGAGTATAGTGTAGTAAAAGATGCTGCATTTTGCCGTTATTGCTATCTTTTTAAATGTGATTTTGATAAAGCGGGTGGTAGTGGAAGTGATGTCTTCACTGAAAAATGGTTTACAAATTGGAGGAAAGGACCCGAAAATTTTCGAGTCCATGAAGGAAGTGTTGGAAGTCTTCATAATAAAGCTATGCAACAAGCTAAAGACTTGATGACACAAAAACAACACATTGAAACATTTGTGATCAAGCAAACTGATGAAGCTCGCGTTAATTATCACACTTTACTGAGTGGAGCACTTGATTGCACAAGATGGTTGTTGCGACAAGGTTTGGCTTTTCGTGGGCACGATGAATCTTTGAAATCGAGCAATATGGGTAATTATATAGAACTTATGTAATTTCTTGCTGATCATAATGAGAAAGTTAGGAGGGTTGTTTGAGAATGCTCCCAAAAATCTTAAGTATACTTCTTCCGATATTCAAAAGGATCTTGTTCATACTTGTGTTATTGAAACTATTAACGGAATCACTAAATATATGGAAGGTACATTTTTTTCTCTCTTGGTTGATGGATCACGTAATGCTTCCACTAAAGAGCAAATGGTGGTGGTATTGCGTTACGTGAACAAAAAATGAGAAGCAATTGAAAAGTTTTTTGGTGTTCAACATGTCTCTTCTACAACCAATAGCTCACTTGAAGATGCCATTGAGAGATTGTTTGCAACAACAAATTTAAGTTTGTCCAAGTTATGGGGACAAGGCTATGATGGAGCTAGTAATATGAGAGGTAAGTTAAATGGTCTTAAAATAAAGATTTTGAACAAATACCCTTAAGCATTTTATATTCATTGTTTTTGCACACCAACTCCAACTAGCTCTTATATTTGTGGTAAAGGAAAATGAGGATGTTGCCAATTTCTTCATCAATGCTAGTAGTTTGGTGAATCTTATTGGATCGTCATGCAAGCGTTGTGATGCATTTAGAGAGAAACAACAAGAACAAATTCAGAAAGCTCTTGATCTTGGTAAGCTTGAAACGGGTAAATGGTTAAATCAAGAAAGTAGTCTTATAAGTCCATGTGATGCACGGTAGAACTCGCATTATGGTACTATAGTTAATATTATTGTTATGTTTGAAGTCGTGGTGGAGGTGGTTGAATGGATTAAAAGCGATCACAACCAAGATAATCTCGGCGAAGCAACTAGGTTATTCAAGGACATACAAACTTTTGATTTTGCGTTTCACCTTTTCTTGATGAAACTTATATTGGGAATTACTAATGAGTTATTACAAGCATTGCAAATAAAGATCAATTGTGAATGCGATGGCATTAGTGGAAGTATGCAAGCAATGACTACAATCCTTGAGAGATGATGACTTTGGGGACGTGTTTCATGATGTAGAAAGGTTTTGTGAGGAGCATGATATTATCATTCCTAACATGGAAGATTTGCATTTTGTACCTATAAAATCAAGGCGTAAAGCTCCAAAAATCACAAACTTCCATTACTATCGTGTGGACCTCTATTTTCAAGTATTTGATATGCAACTAAAGGAATTGAATGATCGCTTCAATGAGGTAAACACCGAGTTGCTTCTTTGTATGGCATATTTGAGTCCGGTGAATAATTTTGCATCTTTTGACAAAGCAAAAATTGTTCATTTAGCCCAACTTTATCCTCAAGATTTTGATCGTATGGACCTCATGAATCTTCCAATTCAACTTGACAATTACATTCATGATATGAAGATGCATAGTGAGTTTTCATCATTGAGAGGAATTAGTGATCTTGTGAAAGAGTTAGTGAAGGATGGGAGGTGTGAAAGCTATATGTTAGTGTACTAGCTTCTTACATTGGCTTTGGTGTTACCGGTTGCTATTGCTTCGGTGGAGAGAGCTTTTTCTGCTATGAAGATTGTGAAAACACCATTGCATAACAAAATGGGAGATCAATGGTTGAGTGATAGCATGATTGTTACATTGAGAGAAATGTATTTTATTGATAATGAACTTATTATGCGACGTTTTCATAACATGAAACATCGTCGGGAACAATTGTAATTTGTTTGTATTGATTAATTATGGAAGATATTACTACACAAAAAGATGTGGTTGTTGCCATTTTTCTTTAACCTTGCACTCTTTTAAGTTTGTCCCTCGTCCGAAGAAATCCTGGCTTCGCCACTTATTGCAAACCATGTGACTGCAGACAATTCTTAGAAAAACACGATTTTCTTCATTGCATGGTAATATTATAACCTAGAAACGTCTTCTCTCTTTTTCTCGTGTCATTTTTGCTCATGTTCTTTACCGTATTCATAGGTATCCCGACACAGCAAGGGTAAAAAGCAAGATGATTTATGCAAGCTACAAGAAAAAGTTAAGGGGCGAATTGGACGACTTACAAGAAGGGCGAATTGGACGGCGTACAAGTCGAGCTGCAGGCTACTAATCGGGCTGATATAGCTCTCGATGTTATCAAACGTCATGCAAACTAAGAAGTCTATGTTGGATTTATCCAATATAAATCAACTTTTAAGTGGTCTACTACATGTAATAGGAATGTAATATTGGAGAAACAATGTTGATTGTGATTCGATCACTGAAAAATATGTGTCTTATATTGGAAATAGAATTGATGGAATCCTTAATTGACTATAATTATGATACTTAACTTAGAGACTAAGAAAGTAAGTTTAGGTTTTGGAAACCCTAGCTTTTAGCCCATATATAAACACCAGTCCCTATAAGCCCTAGACAACACAACATAATGCTTCCCATAGAGTAGTTGTATCCAGCTAGGTGTTTATAGAATACATTGGTGTTGTCGTGCCTTTTCTCCTTCCTTGCTCGAGTACCATGATTACAACTGGAATAAGGTTTGTCACCCTTTCGTTTGTGTTTTAACTGTATAACCTTATAAGGCTAACAACCTGGTCTTTGTTATGGCCATTTTTCTCAAGCTCTCTTTTACTTTCAAGTGGAATGCTAATAATTTGTGGGGTTGTGAACCTGTCTTGAAATTTATAGTATTTTCTTCCATTAGACGAGTCCTGCAATCTCGGTTTATGGACGGAGATGAAAGAACTTATGCGAGTGTGTCCTTATAGTTACTTATAGAAGTTGAGTTGTACAAGCATGGAGGGAAGGCCATATCTAATGCAAAACAATTCATAACTTCGTAAGGCAAATCAAACATATCCAAAAGGATAATGCGGGAGACTAAAATTTCAAACTAAGTGATATGTCACAAATAAAAAATAAGCATGTTAATCAACACATAAGTATAATCCAACCATCTTCAACCATGTCATTTGGTTTACAAAATGTTTTAAAAAAAATTGGTCTACCTAACATTACCCTATCCAAAAATTAATAGTTCAGAACTCAAACATCTAATTTATATTATTATCTACATTTGTGTATATACTAGTTGGTATGGTATGCCGCCAGTACAATACTCCAAACCGAAGCCAACCGTTAATGGATCGGTTCGGTTCTATATATACCAACCGATTAAGAAGATTTACCAAAATATTACCGTACAGCCTCCAAATTTTGACTCAATTTCTTGAATCTATGTCTCTAGAGAGAAACTTATTTGATCTAATTGGCTATTAGGGTTTAGGGCTTTATTATGGAGAGTTTTAACAAAACACTCCAGGTACTGTTCACTTTTAACGAAAAATCACATTTATACATTTCTCTGGTACTATTCATTATACCTTTAAAAATGATTTTTCATTAAAAATAAAAGTTTTTTTTGAACTTTTCGTTAGTTTTCCTTTTATTATTTTGGAACACGTGACCACGTGAGCAAGGTGGGAGTGGGTTCGCATCCACGAGATCGTTCCCCAGATATTCTGCGCTGTTCTCCGTAGCTTCATGTGCGCATTTTGCAGGATCCATACTCCTGACAACACTCCAATGGCTGCCGGAGATCAGAACCCAGCAACACCACCTGGCGCACGTTAGAAGTGGAGAAAGCATATGTTCCTGAGTTAGTTCCTCCTCTCTCTCACATGCTCCGATACGATCAAAGATTTTGGATTAACCATGACAGAGCACAATTGACTGAGTTAGTTTAGGCTTTCTCTTTAGGGTGCACATAATATTCATGCATTCTCTTTGTTTTTTTTTTTTTTTTTTTTTTTTGGCAGACATGCACTCCTGAAATATTGAGCCTTGATTGACCATTTTACCCTCTAATCCCTACTTCATAGTTTAATATACCTTTGCTTGCAAGGACGTGTTTGACGAGATCAAATCTTCTGCATCCAAAATAAGTGTGGTCTCTCTGTAGCCTCAATATGTATTTGGCACATTAAATTCAAGATAACAAAATTAAGAAAAGTTAAGATAATGAATACATGTTAGACACTTATTAAGGTCACAGAGAGGTCACACCTATTTTGGATGCAGAAGATTTGACCTCGTGTTTGACATTCTTAAAGAGTTTTCATTTACGTAGGAGTTAAACTTTGTCGTATGCCTAAGAAGAGTGAAAGTGAAATCTTGTCCTTGTGTATCTACGAAGAGCCTAACTTTACTCACTTCTTAACGTTTTGTAACCTCACCTGAAATTTACTCTACAGTGTTTTCTTCGATGAGAACGAGTCCTGCGATCTCGGTTGTGTGCCAAAAACCTAGCATTGCTTGAGCTCATAGCCTTCATGTTGCGAGGTCATACAAATGATGAGCTCGTTTGAAAGTTCCTCATTGTGTAAGATTTTCGTTGTTTCGCGCGGTGCTCGAGTGAATGAACAATGCATACCCTGTAAAGCTTGTATAATCCACAGGAGGACATCACCCTTCCATGAGATTGGACGAATAGACATTGTTTAGTTGCCAGGGCCATTCCTGGGTAGTTGCTAATAATCCAAAGAATGACAACAACAAATTACATCCCAAGAGAACACCTTTAAAGGATGCAGTTCAAAGTTTCAAAGTTTCTCACCATCCTTTCCTGATACATTACATTCTCCCTCTCTTATGCCTTCTACCTTAGCATACAGGGTTGAAATAATGCACATAAAAGAATTCCAAATCATCTTGTCAAGTTAGATGTGTATGTATACATACCTAAACTAAAAAAATGTAAATGTTGAACGATCACGGCCCCGCCAAGTATCAAAGAAGCTAATGAACTAATCTCCCAATTTGAAGGTTCTGTATACAACACATGGATTACACTTACTAGATTACTAGCAACTGATGCCTGATGGATGGAATCTAACTTGTCAGGCAAGTTCCACGGATAAGTGTGTTATATGTAACTCGATTTGGCTTCAACCCTCTTCTCATCATGTCATCACGCAACTCGAAGGCCTTGGTTATTTCTCCAGTGACACAACACCCGTATATCAAAAAGTTATATGCTAGAATATCAGGCTTCAGACCCCTATCTAGCATAACATCCCACAGCTTAATAGCTTCTAGCAAATTGCCCCTCCTACAGTACTCATAGATAAATGTTGAATACGTAATACAATCTGGGTAAATACCATTGACTGTCATTTCAACCAGGAGCTGTGAAGCTTCCTGAAACTTTCCCATTTTGCAGAAACCCCTGATAAGTATATTGTATGTGGCGGTGTTTGCTGACAATCCTGCAAGCATGTCATTGTGCAGTTGTAAAGCTTTTTCCATGGTTCCTTCTTTGCTAAGGTGATTTAAGAAACAACCATATGTGACATGATTGGGAAAGGCATCACCGACGAGCATATCCTTCAAAACAAGCTCTGCTTTATCCATATAACCTGCCTTACATAATCCATATACCAAGGCAGTGTAAGTCACAACATTAGGTAAGCATCCTTCACCTACCATTATATCCCAAACCCCAATTGCCTTGTCAAGTTTCCCCGCTTTCCCATATTCATCGATCATACTTGTATATATTACATTATCAGGCCTCAATCCTTGATTATGCATCTCATTAAAGAGACCAAATAATCTTCCGGTATCCTGTTGCTTTAAAGCTCCACAAATTAGTACAGCATAGCACACAAGATCCATGTCTACTCCTCTTTCAATCATCTCACGACAAGCACCTAATGCATCGTGTAATCTTCCTTCCTTGCAATAACCATGTAGCAGTGCACTATAGCACATCTCATTTAACTTGTAATTCTCTTTGTGAAGGTCATCTACGAACTTTTTGGCTTCAGACACTCTGCCCGTCGAACACAGACCACTTATTAGAGGTCTATATGTATACGTGTCTGGTACAAGACCCTTCTCAACCATTTCATCAAGCAATTCAAAGCCTCTAACTGTGTTACCTTGTCGGCAGTGCCCATCAATCATAAGATTATAAGTCACCTCGTTTGGCAAAACGCCCCTTTTCACCATTTCATCAAATAATTTTGTTGCTTCAGCCATCATATTTGCACGACAAAGACCTGAAATAATTACACTGAAGGTGTAAGTGTTTGGCGTAATGCCTTTTTCCATCATTTCATGATACAACCTAAATGCCTTGTGCATCTCTCCTTCTTTGCAGTACCCACTTATCAATGATGTATAGGTTACAACGGTTGGAACCACTCCTTTATTCATCATCTCACAGAAGATAGATTCCGCCACACTCAATGTTCCAAACTTGCATTGCCCGCTTATCAAAGAATTGTAGGGGTAAACAGTTACCTTAACTCCAGCATTAATCATTTTATCAAAATAACGAAATGCAACATCCAACATCCCCCTTCGGCAGAAGGAATCAATCAATATAGAATAGGTTACATCATTGGGGAACATACCCTTCTTTCCCATGTTATCGAAGAGCAATTCTGCCTCATCCAGTTTCCCATCTTTACACAAAGAATTAAGCAATGAATTGTACGCAAACAAATTAGGAACCACCCCAACTTCTCCCATTCTCTTCACTAAATCAAAAGCATCTTCAATCTTCCCCTTCCTCCTCAACCCCTCCATGAGACCCGAAAGAGCTGCTTCACTCGGAACAAACCCCAGCTCAATCATTTCATTCATTAACTCCACACCAACCTCAAATTCCTGCACTTTACACAACCCAAGCACCAAAGTACAATATGTGACAATGTCCGCTTTCAACCCCTTCTGACCCAACATATTCTTAACCTCTACAGCCTCCCAAACCCTCTGGCACTTGCAGAGCCCATGAATCAACACATTATACATAACAACACTCAACTCACACGTATTCGATTCAGCGTACCGAATCACTTCCTTAGCCTTATCTAAATTCTTCAATTCACACAAGCTCCTAACCGCGGCAGTATACATATAAACATCGGGTCGAAGACCCACATTGATCATTTCATCAAAGAGTTGCAGAACCAAATTGAAATGCCTAATTTTCACCAACCCATTTAAAAGGGCATTCAAAGTTCTCACCTCCGGCAACATTTCACACTCCCTCATCAGCCTCACAACCAAAACACCATCCAAAACCCTCTTATTTTGCACATAACCTTGAACCAACAAATCAAATCCCACACTCGACGAACATTCAAGTTTCCTATAAGAATTCAACAGAGATTGAAAAACCTCACTTGGGTTCAACCCACGAAGCAAGAGGGTCTGCAAAAGCGACGAGGCGGGCCAAAAGAGATTGCCCTGAACCAGGGCGTGAATCAGAATGCAAAACGACGCCGTAGAGTGGCTGAAGCTTCTGTGCAAGCCCAAGAAATTGAAAAAGCGCAAGGCTAACCTGGGATTCCGTACGTTCTGGATCAGAACCTTCTCAACGTGGCGGGGCTCCAAGGTAGCTGAAATGAAGGGGTCGTTGAAGGCGAGCTTCCAGCTCTGCTTCCCCCGAACGACCTCGGATAGGGTGAAGACGAAGCGGGCGTCGTCGTTTTCGTCATTATCTTGGGAGGTGGGATTGGAGGAGGAGGAGAAGGAGGAACAGAGGTTTCTGGGTTTGGAGTGGATGAGAGGGTTTGCGAGGGGACGATGGGGACGAGCGAGCTTCATTTTTTGGTCAATCAATTGGGGTAATGAGGAGATTTCGTTTGATTCATTTCATTGGGTTGTTCGTATCAGAAGATAGAGAAATGAAAGTAAAAATCATTGGATTGGTTTGATTTGTGTTGGAAGTTGGAAGATCGGAAAAATTGATCGGGATGATGTCGATGCCGAGAGAGAAGGTGAGTGGTGGTGGACTCTGTTGAATACAGTAGCCTGTTGGATCATCTGTGAGCAGAAACGACTAATTTTGTACCTAAAACATGTGATACTAGCCCATTAGCAACAAAGCCCAACTCATCCTAGCTCACCTAAGCTCATACTGCTTTCCCAAAACTCGGAATGACACGTTATGAGCTCAAGCTCATCTATCTCGAACCGTTCACGTAGGTATCGTAGGTATCGTTTGGTATGCAGACGGAATGAGATGGAACGGAGAGGGAGTAAAGATCCTCTCGGATGGAAACAAGGAGGAAGAAGAAGGAGACGGAGAGATTATAATTTTGTGTTTCACAGATGTGGAACAAGTCGTTCCAAGGAAGTGAGGCGGAACGAAAATTCATCCAAAATTTGTCCCGTGGAACAATGCGTTCCACCAGTTTTAGGTGCACCAAACATGGGACTAAACGCCTCGTCCTACTCCGTTCCGTCCCATCCCACGTCCTGCGTAGTACGGGTAGGGACGGGACGGAACGGGACGAGGCGTTCCGTCCCGCGTTTGGTGCGCCAAAAATGGGTGGAACGGGCTGTTCCACGAGACAGATTTTGGATGTTTTTGCGTCCCACCTGCCCCCCTGGAACGGGTTTGTTTCCACGTCTGTTGGGAACACAATGTTTTACCATTTTTAAGACAAATATACCCCATGTCTTTTTCAAAAATTACACCTTCGTTCCCTGTCCGGTTCCGTCCCATTGTCCGCGTCCTATTCCCTGTCCCGTCCGTTCGTACCCGTCTGCGTACAACCCGTAGGGATGGACGTAGTGCGGTTCGATTCGGTTCCAACCTCAAACCGAAGCTGGAATCA